ATTGCTTGTAATTTTGATGTATGCAATGATTTAAAAGTTGACTAAAAATGTTGCTCTTCAAAAAAATACCCAGGACTTCCCAGCTGCTATTTGTTGCTAATTGTTTATCGGATACTTTTTTTCTGATAAGCCACAGTTTTTGTGAAAAAGGAAACTGTTGATAAGCATCAACGTCTCGGTTTTTCTTTTATTATTTCATATCAGCGTCGACTACAGGAAAGTGAAGTTAGATTACTATTACCTCTTTGCTATTGCATTCTAATTTCTACATTCTTCTGTTTAATCCGTACAGTATTTGGTACTATTTATTTATTGGCTTTGCGTGTTACTTGTTGTCCAAATTGGGCTAAACTTCGCTCATCCACATACCTAGTTTCTTCTCGCTATTTACTGGTGTTTTCCTTTTTGTTTTTTCTTTTAATCTCAATTCATCATGGTGTACCCAGGTGATGAGCTGTGAACATGGAGACGCCAGTGAAGATCCAGCAAAAGAAGCCTTTCTGAAAGCACCGTTTGAATACGTCAAGAGAGTGCCAGGGAAAAAAATCAGAACGAAGCTAACTGAAGCTTTTAACAAATGGTTAAATATAGATGAAGACGTTTTAATCAACATAACGAGCATAGTTGAATCGCTTCATAACGCTTCTTTGTTGTCAGTAACTACAGTAATTTTAAACTTATTGCGCTGAGTTGATGAAAGTGTAAATGTGGTTGACACTTCCTTTAATTCACAGTATCAATCAAAAAGAATTTTTTTACCATTTATTTATTACATCACAAGTCTCGATAATCTTTCAGAGTCGATGATATCGAAGACGATTCATTGTTACGACGCGGAAAGCCTGTCGCGCACAAAATTTATGGGATACCAAGAACCCTCAACGCCGCTAATTATGTTTACATGCTTTCGTTACAAGAATGCATAAAAATGGAAAACCCAAAAGCTGTCGAAATTTTTGCAGGTAAGTGTTGCGCATAAGTAAGTCGGAAACTAGTAGGGAAGTTTGCTACATTAATAGGTAAAATTTACGGCTTCTCCAACAAATAAACGCCGTTATAAGTGCTTTTTTCCAGAGGAGATGTTAGAACTTCACAGAGGTCAAGGAAAAGAAATATTTTGGAGGGATACAATACAGTGCCCGACAGAAGATGAGTACAACCAAATGGTTTTGCAAAGTCGGTTTTTCTTGAAATAATTACGTCATAAGAAAGTTTAATTATTCTCCCAGAAGTAACTTTTTCAGAGACTGGAGGCTTGTTCTCTCTTGCTGTACGATTAATGGAATTGTATAGTAAGAATAAATTTAACTTCAAACCTCTGATTCGAAAACTTGCACTCTACTTCCAAGTAAGGTCGGTTAATTTTTAATTTCTGCTGCTAATGCTCCATGTCCTTCCTACTAATTCGATTGGGAAGAGTGTAAAAAAAATAATTTTAATTTTTTTGTTCAAAATGGAAGAATTTCTAGAGATGACTATATGAATCTTTGTTCTTCGCGGTATGGCAAAGAGAAAGGTTTTGCCGAAGACGTAACTGAAGGGAAATTCTCGCTGCCAGTAATATTTGCACTTCGTGACCATATAAACGCGGCTGCCCCGTTTCGAGATGACGAAGTTTTAGGTAAGTTTCTAGTGTCGTCACTTCTTTTTAAGCACTTGATTGAAGAAATGACAACTTATTACTTACTTAGAGTAAGTTTAGGTATTCTTCAACAGAGGCCAACAAATTATGAGGTTAAAGCGTATTTCGTCAACTTACTTCGTGAAAGAGGCAGCCTTAAGTGAGCTTCTGCAGCTTTAAAATGCTTAGCTTTTTTAATTTGAATATGCGGTCAGATTTTCCTATGAAAGGCATATTGCTATTTAGCGACCTTTAATCGTTCAGGAAAACCATGGATCGCATCCAGTACTACTACCAAGAAGTTATTGATGAGACTGCGGTTTTCGGTGGTAACGATAAGTTGATCGAAGTTCTTGAAAACCTACATAATGCTCTTAAGTCAGTTGCTATAGAAGAAGAAAAGCTTCTGCACCAGGAAGGACACTGAAACTAACCCGCTGCTTTTAAAACAGTTCTCGAGAAGAATAAGTCAAGTGTATAGGTAGACCCTGCATTTCATCTGTGATTACCAAAAAGGCAACTTAACTTCACCAAAAAATGTAATTGGTGTTGCCTGAGTTTTATTTGTGGCTATCATAAGCACCCCTACGAAATCATTTCTAGTTTGTTATTTGTAATTAATTTTGACTCTGCTGGGCCCGCGTCAGAGTTCTGTAAATCGTGACCCGACTTGCTTTATTGCTTCATTGCTTCATTAGGCTGTTTTTTATTTTGTATCAGAACTTCAGGTGCTGGAACATTCCATTTTGCTTTAACGATCTTGTTCTGCATGTTGCCATCTTTTTTCTGTTGAGTACACATCATTCTAGCCACTCCGTTAACGTATTTTAGCATAAAAATCTGCAGTTCAGAATTCACATAGAGAAGCGAACTGGTTGATGACACTATATTGTCATTTAGGGCAACATTCAGCATAAGAGCTTAAAGACCTTAAACACAACTGTGACTTAAAGAAACGGAAAGATTAACACTGTTTTGCCCTGAGAGCTTATATCATCACTATGCTAAAATACGAAACAAAAAGTTGCTACAGTATAGCAGGACCTGGGCGTTCTCGTAAGCAGGTATTGTTGAGCAAACTTCATTAAACGATTCTTATCGCATAGTTATTAGAGCTTTCCCATAAATCCTATCGTCTTTTATATCTTTTATACAGTCGTTTATCTGAAATAAAAGCCAAACAGTTGGCAGTGAGAAGCGCGTCACAAAGGAGTGGTTACAAGTTTAAGCTGAGGTTCCAATTCACACCATGAAGAGAGGTGGTTATTTGTGAAAAATAAGGACATTTAGCTTTTACGTACCTTTTCCAAAGGATACTTCTGTTCAGTACGGACGCTTATATACCCGTTCTCCAATAATTCAACTAGTATTTTCATTATATCTTCCAATTCATCTTGCGTTGATGTTCCTAACCAAACACCTGAGAAGTACAAAATTTAGAGGTTTCTCAGGGTTGAGCACTGTTGGCAGGCTATATCTTGAAATTCAAGCAACGAGCTTGGTGTAGACTTTTTATCAGTTTTCTCACCCGAAACGGTTGCCTGGTGCTTATGAAGCTCCAAAAGGTTCACTGAAGGAACAGTCCCCGAAGAAAAACCAACACTGACGATGTGACCGCCAGTCTTCAGCCTAAGTTAAAGCAATGATCATGAAGGAAAAAGCTTTGGTTTTTCTCGACAGGGAAGGGTTATAAAGGCATGCTTAAGGTCTACAAGATCTTACGTTTTTAAAGCGTTATAAAACGGCTCCCCTCCTACAGCATCAA